AAAAGTATGACGTACTAAGTCAAAATTGACAAAAAATGAAACACCGTCATAGTGAAGTTTTTTTCAGTATTAAGACTAAGTCAGTTCTTCTTACAGCCTAATTTCTTCTTTTTTTATCTCAATTTTGACTATAAATTACTTTTTACCTTATAGTTTCAACTTTTTATCTCATAATTATGATTTACCAAAGCATGATTTTTTTTTTATGTGGGGAAAAGGGGCTATACACATTGAGCCTTTGGTTACAGGTGATCCTTTATCAGTGCGAATTACACTAATGACATCAAAACATCAATCACTCCTAAAAATAAATAAATAATGAATGAAAGACTAATAAAAAAAAACATTTAAAAAATGTCATGACCAGGCAAGTGTCACTGTTGTTTTGACTTAACACAGTAGGCTATTTAAAGGCAAGAAGATCAACGTAGCATAGACTGACCACAGACATGACAGTCATCTGGTCGGATAACAATCCTTCCGAGTCTCTCCTCGATATTACTTTTCACAGCAATTGAACAGTTTGTCAGAATAAAACTGAAAGAGAGAGTATCTGAGACAGATCATTGAATTGAGCTCAGCTTAAATAAATAAATGCAGCTAATTTCTTGTTGTCAACTGTTTGTTTTCATTTCCGAAAACCATTTGAAAGCCAAGTTCATGAAAAAGCCACAATGTATGTCCCTTGTTTTAAGTTCTCTCTATTTCTGTTTCTCTGAGAGTCACATGAGTGTATAATTGAAAGCTCTGCGTTCTTGTCGTTGTTCTACAGTGACGATAAACTAAAGTCAGTTCATGACATATGGAATTATATTATAGACACAATACTGACTGGATTTCCATCCAAAGTTTTTAACAAATAATTTTATATATATATATTTTTTTTTTCTTTTTTCTTTTTATTAATTATGTGCAAAACTGCAATATCACATAAAACATTTGTGAATAAGCACCGTTAGCACCCAATGTGTCAAAGAGAACAAGATCGTCATTTCCTGATAAACTGGCATGAAATATAAATAAGAAAAGTAGGAGAAGCCACGGAATATAAATATTTTCATATAGGCCTATAATAAATGACTTGTGCCTCAGAGCTAGCAGATGAGCATTGCAGGCAAAGTCACATATGATTTGTTTTCATTGCATTTCCATCTCCCATTATTCACATGAACCCTTTTTGCACAAGTCAAAAACCACCACGTTCTCAGTTGTTATGATGTGATACTTCGCAGTGATAAAAACAAGGTGATGGAAACAGTGAATGACAGCAGGAATGTGTGGGAGACACAATTTAGAAAACTTTACATCATAAAGAGCCATAATGTAGCTACAGAGATCAATTTTATGTGTGTGTACTACTATTATTATTAATATTTTGTTAATTGTTAGATAAGAGTTCAGATGCACTGAACCTCAAAGGAAGCTGCCGTCATTTGTTTCTCACTAAACACATGATCTCTCTCACCCGCCCATCTGACAACTAACCAAAGTTTCTCCTCCCATCAGATTGACAGAGAATAAATATTACAGTCTTCACAGCACTTGTTCAGTCTGAGAATGAAGACAAGAGAGAGGAACTACGAGGCAGATCTTTCTCGACTGAGCCCAGATATGGAAACCAAAAAAAAAAAAAACCCTCTGGTGCAGGTAGGCTATCTATAGCATATCTGTTTATATAATAATATAATATATAATAAGTAATTTTGTATTTGTATTTTGGTTTGTTTCTCGACTGAGCCCAGATATAAAACCAAGAAAAAAAAAACTCTGGTGCAGGTAGGCTATCTATAGCATATCTGTTTATATAATAATATAATATATAATAAGTAATTTTGTATTTGTATTTTGGTTTGTTTCTCGACTGAGCCCAGATATAAAACCAAGAAAAAAAAAACTCTGGTGCAGGTAGGCTATCTATAGCATATCTGTTTATATAATAATATAATATATAATAAGCAAAATTTGAAAGGCATTTTATGGAGAATCCAGGTTTTCAGTTCTCTCTCTTTTGGTTTCTCTGCAGCTCATGAATGAGGATGTTACTGGAAGCTCTGCAATCTTGTCCTGCTCTTTCAGTTACAAAAAACCAAGTCAAGACATGAAATCTATTAAGACTCAATGATGGCAAGAATATATAAAACATCATTAAGAGAAAATGATTCACCTGAGGATCAAAAATATAACATTTCTCAGAGAAGTTTACGGAAGGAAGCTTCACTTTCACACTCATGTAAGTTACTGATTAAATGTACTCATTATTTTGTTTAATCCTTTTCATTTCACTAAAATTAAAACAGGGTCAGGGATGCTATTCTGCAGTCTAGCTAACAGCAGGTTCTTCAGCCCTTATTAGAATCAGCAGCTGTGATAACCCTTTTTTCTGAAACTTAAATTCAAATTCATTGTAGCCTACACTCTTAAAAATAAAGGTGCTTCACGATACCATAGAAGAACCTTTTTGTCTAAATGGTTCCATAAAGAACCTTTAACATCTGAAGAACCTTTCTGATTCACAAAAGGTTCTTTGTGGTGAAAGAAGGTTCTTCAGATAACAAAAAGGTAAGAAAGAGATGGTTCTTTAAAGAACCTTTGACTGAATGCTTCTTTGTGGAGCCAAAAATGGTTCTTCTATGGGATCACTTGAAGAACCTTTTGAAGCACCTTTATTTTTAAGAGTGTACATAAAAAATGAAAATATAAAAAACTTTGCCAAATGTATAATAACTGTGGAAACAAAAAGGGTTCGTAATTTTACAGTGAAACTGGCACAATGTTTTGTAGTCTAATGAAGATGATAAACAAAACTAAGTTTTTTGTTGAACTGAAGTCCAGACATGACAGACGAATGATTGGAGACACGGTGACAGACGGCAGAGACTTGTTCAGTATTACTAATGGTGAAGATTGAGTAGAAATTCAAGAGTTGGCTACATGCGATGAAAAGCGTGTGAAAGTCTTCTGTCTCAGGTGTTTTGAATATACTGAAGTAAATCTGAATATGTTTAATAAATCTCTGGAGCGCGTTTCATGTCGTTCACGTGGTTACTGTTGACGTCACTTACGTCTGATGTCATCCGTAGCACGCATGGCATACTGATGCGGAAGCGTGTATGATACTCTGTTATTTGAAAAGAAAAGAGTATTTAATCTTAATTTAAGACATATTTAAATGCAATATATTAAAATAAAACATATTGATAATATTAGGGCACCACGATGATCAGGTATGTTTGATGAGTTCAGAACGCTATGTGGACAAACGCGTCTTCGTATTTTGGTTTGTTTCTGTTGTGTCGTGGTTTGCACATGCTTTATTGAAACTAGAATTAAAAGGGAAACCTTTTAGTTTAGATTAGAACCTTTAGCATCATTAATACATTAAGCATGAAGTGGTTGATTAATGATTATCAGGTTTATCTGTGGGGGAATAACTAACATTTTTATTTAGTAATTTTCCATTAGCATTAGCAATTAGCATTGTCATCTGGTGTGCTATCTTTGTATTATCTTATTGCGTTTGTGTTTTGTGGAAATAAAACCCAGTCGAGTCACAGTATTTAACAGGATCTTGTTTCTTTCTGTTCCTACAGTTGCAGCTTCATCTGTGTATTTGCAGTGCTGATACATAAAGGTAAGCATCTGAACAACACACTTAAAGGTGCTATAAGTTATTTCTGAGAAACACTGCTGATACTTGTACAGTAATTGCCTCTCGCGTTGGAATGGTTAAGGCTTACTGTATCATCAATTGCTATAGCTCTTATCAATGTCTGCATGAAATACCTTTGGTTTTTCAGCTTTCTAGTACAGAAAAAGCACACATTTTTCATGCCGACAGTGAGAAGGACAATCAATGGCAATTGATGATATCATGATTAAATTTCCAGAATGCATTGCTCCGTGTCGACACATTCTCATTCTCTATACAATTACAACAACAGCATGTTGTGAAACAAAGCAAAACCAGTGTTACTCATGTGTCATGCAGAAACAAAGCAACCTCAACATCCACCTTCCCAAACAATGCCTCTCCAACGCTGGAAAGCTTTTAAAATATTAACACGTGTTCAGCTTTTGCCTGATTGTAACCTCTCTTTTTACAGTGATATTCCTCTGACCTTTTTTTCTTATTGGTTATGTCTCATCCATCTTTCGTTCTACAAATCTCATGCTTATTCAGATTCTCTCTCCTCCCCATCGTGAATGTAAACACCAATTATTGCTGATTGGCTGCAAGAGTGTGGTGGTGATTGGCCTGATCAGTCATATACACTATGTATAAACAATATATATATATATATATATATATTGTTTATACATAGTGTATATGACTGATCAGGCCAATCACCACCACACTCTTGCAGCCAATCAGCAATAATTGGTGTTTACATTCACGATGGGGAGGAGAGAGAATCTGAATAAGCATGAGATTTGTAGAACGAAAGATGGATGAGACATAACCAATAAGAAAAAAAGGTCAGAGGAATATCACTGTAAAAAGAGAGGTTACAATCAGGCAAAAGCTGAACACGTGTTAATATTTTAAAAGCTTTCCAGCGTTGGAGAGGCATTGTTTGGGAAGGTGGATGTTGAGGTTGCTTTGTTTCTGCATGACACATGAGTAACACTGGTTTTGCTTTGTTTCACAACATGCTGTTGTTGTAATTGTATAGAGAATGAGAATGTGTCGACACGGAGCAATGCATTCTGGAAATTTAATCATGATATCATCAATTGCCATTGATTGTCCTTCTCACTGTCGGCATGAAAAATGTGTGCTTTTTCTGTACTAGAAAGCTGAAAAACCAAAGGTATTTCATGCAGACATTGATAAGAGCTATAGCAATTGATGATACAGTAAGCCTTAACCATTCCAACGCGAGAGGCAATTACTGTACAAGTATCAGCAGTGTTTCTCAGAAATAACTTATAGCACCTTTAAGTGTGTTGTTCAGATGCTTACCTTTATGTATCAGCACTGCAAATACACAGATGAAGCTGCAACTGTAGGAACAGAAAGAAACAAGATCCTGTTAAATACTGTGACTCGACTGGGTTTTATTTCCACAAAACACAAACGCAATAAGATAATACAAAGATAGCACACCAGATGACAATGCTAATTGCTAATGCTAATGGAAAATTACTAAATAAAAATGTTAGTTATTCCCCCACAGATAAACCTGATAATCATTAATCAACCACTTCATGCTTAATGTATTAATGATGCTAAAGGTTCTAATCTAAACTAAAAGGTTTCCCTTTTAATTCTAGTTTCAATAAAGCATGTGCAAACCACGACACAACAGAAACAAACCAAAATACGAACACGCGTTTGTCCACATAGCGTTCTGAACTCATCAAACATACCTGATCATCGTGGTGCCCTAATATTCTCAATATGTTTTATTTTAATATTGCATTTAAATATGTCTTAAATTAAGATTAAATACTCTTTTCTTTTCAAATAACAGAGTATCATACACGCTTCCGCATCAGTATGCCATGCGTGCTACGGATGACATCAGACGTAAGTGACGTCAACAGTAACCACGTGAACGACATGAAACGCGCTCCAGAGATTTATTAAACATATTCAGATTTACTTCAGTATATTCAAAACACCTGAGACAGAAGACTTTCACACGCTTTTCATCGCATGTAGCCAACTCTTGAATTTCTACTCAATCTTCACCATTAGTAATACTGAACAAGTCTCTGCCGTCTGTCACCGTGTCTCCAATCATTCGTCTGTCATGTCTGGACTTCAGTTCAACAAAAAACTTAGTTTTGTTTATCATCTTCATTAGACTACAAAACATTGTGCCAGTTTCACTGTAAAATTACGAACCCTTTTTGTTTCCACAGTTATTATACATTTGGCAAAGTTTTTTATATTTTCATTTTTTATGTACACTCTTAAAAATAAAGGTGCTTCAAAAGGTTCTTCAAGTGATCCCATAGAAGAACCATTTTTGGCTCCACAAAGAAGCATTCAGTCAAAGGTTCTTTAAAGAACCATCTCTTTCTTACCTTTTTGTTATCTGAAGAACCTTCTTTCACCACAAAGAACCTTTTGTGAATCAGAAAGGTTCTTCAGATGTTAAAGGTTCTTTATGGAACCATTTAGACAAAAAGGTTCTTCTATGGTATCGTGAAGCACCTTTATTTTTAAGAGTGTAGGCTACAATGAATTTGAATTTAAGTTTCAGAAAAAAGGGTTATCACAGCTGCTGATTCTAATAAGGGCTGAAGAACCTGCTGTTAGCTAGACTGCAGAATAGCATCCCTGACCCTGTTTTAATTTTAGTGAAATGAAAAGGATTAAACAAAATAATGAGTACATTTAATCAGTAACTTACATGAGTGTGAAAGTGAAGCTTCCTTCCGTAAACTTCTCTGAGAAATGTTATATTTTTGATCCTCAGGTGAATCATTTTCTCTTAATGATGTTTTATATATTCTTGCCATCATTGAGTCTTAATAGATTTCATGTCTTGACTTGGTTTTTTGTAACTGAAAGAGCAGGACAAGATTGCAGAGCTTCCAGTAACATCCTCATTCATGAGCTGCAGAGAAACCAAAAGAGAGAGAACTGAAAACCTGGATTCTCCATAAAATGCCTTTCAAATTTTGCTTATTATATATTATATTATTATATAAACAGATATGCTATAGATAGCCTACCTGCACCAGAGGGTTTTTTTTTTTTTTTGGTTTCCATATCTGGGCTCAGTCGAGAAAGATCTGCCTCGTAGTTCCTCTCTCTTGTCTTCATTCTCAGACTGAACAAGTGCTGTGAAGACTGTAATATTTATTCTCTGTCAATCTGATGGGAGGAGAAACTTTGGTTAGTTGTCAGATGGGCGGGTGAGAGAGATCATGTGTTTAGTGAGAAACAAATGACGGCAGCTTCCTTTGAGGTTCAGTGCATCTGAACTCTTATCTAACAATTAACAAAATATTAATAATAATAGTAGTACACACACATAAAATTGATCTCTGTAGCTACATTATGGCTCTTTATGATGTAAAGTTTTCTAAATTGTGTCTCCCACACATTCCTGCTGTCATTCACTGTTTCCATCACCTTGTTTTTATCACTGCGAAGTATCACATCATAACAACTGAGAACGTGGTGGTTTTTGACTTGTGCAAAAAGGGTTCATGTGAATAATGGGAGATGGAAATGCAATGAAAACAAATCATATGTGACTTTGCCTGCAATGCTCATCTGCTAGCTCTGAGGCACAAGTCATTTATTATAGGCCTATATGAAAATATTTATATTCCGTGGCTTCTCCTACTTTTCTTATTTATATTTCATGCCAGTTTATCAGGAAATGACGATCTTGTTCTCTTTGACACATTGGGTGCTAACGGTGCTTATTCACAAATGTTTTATGTGATATTGCAGTTTTGCACATAATTAATAAAAAGAAAAAAGAAAAAAAAAATATATATATATAAAATTATTTGTTAAAAACTTTGGATGGAAATCCAGTCAGTATTGTGTCTATAATATAATTCCATATGTCATGAACTGACTTTAGTTTATCGTCACTGTAGAACAACGACAAGAACGCAGAGCTTTCAATTATACACTCATGTGACTCTCAGAGAAACAGAAATAGAGAGAACTTAAAACAAGGGACATACATTGTGGCTTTTTCATGAACTTGGCTTTCAAATGGTTTTCGGAAATGAAAACAAACAGTTGACAACAAGAAATTAGCTGCATTTATTTATTTAAGCTGAGCTCAATTCAATGATCTGTCTCAGATACTCTCTCTTTCAGTTTTATTCTGACAAACTGTTCAATTGCTGTGAAAAGTAATATCCTCAATCTGATGAGAGGAGATACTCGGGAGGATTGTTATCAGACCAGATGACTGTCATGTCTTTGGTTTTGTTTAGCGTCAAAGTAAGAACATGAATAGAATGCAGGAATTCCAGTAACATCCTCATTCATACAGAGGAATTAGGAGAAAAATCTTCTTAAAGTGAAAGAAAACAAAAGTCCCAAACATAAGCCTTATCAGGGATTTGCCTTTTAAACCCTTACTTTTAAGCAAACAGGTGGCTGCGTGTTGCTTGTTTGTTTTCATTCAGTTTAATTCTTCTGAACTTTTGTTCATTGTTATGTGATAACATGATAACATTAATATTGGCCTTCAGTTTGGTATAATATTAGTCAAAGAATGGTCTTGAATGCAAAAGCAGATATTTTATATTTTTATATTACAGTGTTGTATTGTGTTTTTATGTTATATAGACTGATATTATTGACAGTTTATGCTTATATACTGATATTATGTGTGTATGTGCCTTCTTCACCAGGATGTTTGTCATATACACTGCCACAAGTAAAAGGAGCCCAGCCCTGTGTTTCAATTATGTTCTCATAACAAGATATGATTGGAGCCCTTAAAGTGTTCCATTGCACTGCCTCAAGAACTTACCTTCAGCTTTTGCTTTTGTTTTTAAAGAGTTTACAAGATTCTTGCAAGCTTGGTTTGTTTTCTGACCATTGCAACTCAATATATAATTAATAAATAATCCAAAAGAAAGGTTAAGGTCAATGTTTATGTGGCCAAACCACAGCAAAATATCATACTCTGTAGATGAGAT